CTGCGATGCGTTCTTATATAACAACAGTTGCACAAAATCTCATTGTGGAGATCATATCTATACTCGGTATTTTTTATAATATTTTGCTGTTCGTGAAACGGCTAACGTGGTGCAATTTGGAGTCTCCGAGAGGAGAAGTAAATTCATCTGAAATCACATGGTGTATACGATGATGAAGAATTTGGGTATTGTTCCTTCTTAGAGGAAAATCGTAGTAGACTAAGCACTCAACAAGTGATGAAAGCCGTAAAGCTTCTTATGAAAACTGAGCTACGTTCGTACGCAAACTCAATGAGCGGAGCGAAGTGGTTTTCTTTGCATGAAATGGAACAGTATAGTATTGCTGATCATCGGTTATGACGAATGAAAACGCGAATCCTCGGGAATGTGAATTCAAAGAGTAGTGTTGCAAAATCAGTTCTGCAGCTGGTTTCGAAAACCGGTTTTCAAACTAGGCTCATTGAGAATTTTTCAGAACCGATTTTAGTAGTATTAAGTGCAGCGCTCTCATTAGAGCGATTATATATAAAGATTTTTACAGGCGTAATAGTGCATACCTATGCTATGTCCTAGACCTCATATCAGGAATGCATCTACCTTTGTGAAATAACGTTCCCTAGGGTTTGATAACAATGGAAAAATATGTTACTAATGTGATGATGACATTCACATGGGGGGAACTGTTTGAAGAATGTGTTCCTAGCCATACGTGGAAAATTCAAAATGAGTTCCTCTCAGGAACATTATAACTTCCTGGCACTCTGCGGTAGACATCGAGTTCGACGGATGAGAGGGATCGAGATGACGTTGTTGTTTGCTTGCGTATAGCGTTGCTAATCTCGGTCCCGAACGAAATATCTTCACTTGCATCATTCAGTTTACTCCCAGCAACATCATCATGACGTCAGCTTCCCCACGGCACGAAGAAGGAGAGGAGGAGGAAGAGAAGTCGAACTGCATGAACGTTTCTGCTTTCTGGAGCTCCATCGCGGACTGGGTCGGCGGCATGTGCGTCGAACAACGAGAGGTATAGTTTCGTGGCGAGTGACGGTGAGACTGCTATACAGTTGTATTTAAATTCATTGGTGATTTACACACGACTTGAAATTACAGTTGTCACCAACACATGTAGTTGACCATATGCATTGTCGGAAATTCTCGTAGGTTTTTATACACTTTTACTCGAATTTGTAAATAAGCTTTTCTAGTTAGTGAGGAAAGCAAATATATATACCTCCAGCACTGCTTTATGGGTTAAAACGACACAAAAACGGAATTTTTACATTAATCGTTTCCAAAATCAGGTAGGGGTGAAGAATCGATACTATTTTGATGAAAGCAGCAAGACTTGGGAACTACAAGGAGGCGAGACCGATGAGGACCGCCGAGCCAATCTCGCTATTCAAACCGGTGCCCAAGGTAGGCCCCATGCGAATTGGTGAAAAACGCGATGTTCGCAGTGATATGCAGCAGTCGTGAAATATGTTTTTCACTAGTGTGAAACTCCGCAGAATCAATTCTGGAGTTGAGGATCGACTCTACCATTTTATGGTACTTGTGTGAGTCTTGAAATTGGTTAGTTGTACGACTCCAGTGTATTTTGGACATATAATGAAGTTTCACCCTAGTGATATGAAAACACTAGTGAAAAACATATTTCACGACTACTACATAGTGCGAATATCGCGTTTTTCACGGAGTTTTACACCAGCTTACGTAAAACGGGTGAAACTCCAATAATTTACAAAATTTACGCAATTTTTCGACAAGGACAGTTTCTTTTTTATATCGAAAATTCAATGATTTTTCCAAAAAAAATTCCCCATGGTCAAATATTTGCAAACATTTTCACTTCGGACTTTTCCATTTTTTCAGGTGAGCTCCCTGGTGAACGACCAGCGTGGCGAACAGGAGAGCCTAGTAGCGAGGAGAAGCTCATGGCACCGCCCCCCACAGACGTTCCTGCTTGCACTCGGCAGTTTCATCAGACGCCTTTGAGGAAAACACCTGCGGATGATTTTCTACAGCATCCGGTGTATGCTCCAAAAACCTTCGCAGTGCGGGAGAATCTTGCGGACCCGCGACCAGTTCACGACCTTCCTCCTAAACCCAAGCCGACTGTTTACTCTAGTCCGTTTGGTGAAGTATTATAGTTGTTGTTTTATAGTCCTTTCTATTCTGACATAATTCGCTTTTGTAGTAATCTTGTATTCTCGTTGGACACGCGTCTGTCGAGTTTGCGACCTCATCATGCGCGGTCAATGGTAGAAATGCTGTTGTCGAATGAGTAACTATTCGGGTGGACTGACATCGTGGAAACCGATAACTGATGTGGTGCTCATGTTGATATTAGTTCGTGCCCTTGCGCTGCGAAATATCAGCGATTCTGAAAAGACCATATATGCATGTTAAGAGGACAATAATGGTGTCGCTCATCAAGTGTAGCTTTCCTGATTATCCGTAAGTATTGAAAACAAACCAGATGCATAACTCCACTACTCCCTCACTTGTGTTCAAGTACGTCAACACAATCACTTGGAAGACCATATATCACCATCACACAATCTCGATATTATATTTGTAGATAGATTCTCTACTCTCCATTAACCTTTTCCTTGAACAATAATATTCGACCTCAGCAAGGCGTACGGATCGTCTTCTTCCTGTGAGTTGTTATCAGGCCAATTTTCCCCACTAAACAATTCAACACCTGTGCAAATTCACATCGCATAACATAAGACAACGCATGGAAGATGAACACAGATAAAGATAATGATGATAAATACTGCTGCTACCAGCGCCCCGCACTCTGGAGCGTCTTCACAGGGAAGTTGAAACCCTCGGTAGGAAAAGGCTTGTAGGGATCTGAACAGTCGATTATGAATCTCAACACGGGCCAGTGAGCTCTGAAAAATTATGAATTGATAAAACCAGTGGGCAAAATTCCTGAACTATTTACTGACCTAGACTACAGAGAAAATTCAGCCCATCGGGAAGAAAAAAAGCAGGCTTTTGTAATAAGGAAACTCACCAAATGGAGCCTGTTGCCATACTGGTGGTGATGGAGTCCCCATGTAAGGTAGTGGTATTCCGATGGTCATCCTGGTCCTAGGTTGCGCTTGGCCGTGGACCGTGTAAGGAGCTGGAGGGTTGGAAAACGTCTGACAATAAATTTCCATCGAGAGCAACTTATACGACTGTTCTCACCTCGAGCACACTTTGACGGCTTCGCTCCGTCTTTTTCACCAATTCCCTTTGCTGTAGTTCTTGTACAGGCTGTGGTTGCTGTGGCAAATCGCGCACGCCCGAAACCACTTGTTGTTGTTTTTCGACCGTTCCCCCGCTAGAAGTCGCCGACTCCTACACAAGGGAGCATCACATAACACGACCAAATCAGTTCTCCTACTCGGGGCGATCTGTTGGCGTACTCCTCGAAAATAGAAGCTGCAGAAGCTGATCTCGCGGCCGACGCCGCTGTCGGGTTCTGCAGTGAACTGCGCCTTCGCTCCGCTCTCTCGGCTGAGTCCATCTGAGGCAAACTACATGGAGAAACTAAACAACTTTTTCACCAAGAATGTACGTTTGCATAAAGAAATTACCTAAATATGATATATTTATAATCTACGATTACCTAATTATTAACACCATATTTTGTATTTTATTATATATTATCTACAATATACCTATATTAGATGATATCAACAGGTTCTCGATAGCATCAATGTGTGAGAGAGAGCGCTTCGCTCAAGTTCGATGACAACTACATGTACAGTGCGTGGCAATTTGATATGCAAATGTGTGTTATTTTTCCGAGATTAAACTATATCGCATAAACAATGTAACAATGGCTATGAACATATGTTGTGATGAAAGTGCCCGTTTGGGACTGTGATGATGGCGACAACTTGTTCACTATAATTTGTCCTACAAAATAACACACATATTTGCATCGATCAAATTCACATACAAGAAATGCTTAGGAAAACCCCACTCAATTTCCCATTCACTGCTCTCGAATATTCAATCAACTACGACTACTTCGACCAGATAGTATCTAGCAGATACCATCAAAAACCCGAAAGTAAGCTCACCTCCATTAAAGCTTGCACGCGTGGACACCATATTCCAGCAGCTTGTAAGCAGCTCACAGCTGACTGAAAATGTGAGACATCGAGCGCTCTCGAACTAGCCAGACAGGTGGCCAAGGCCATATACCGATGTAGCATCTGAGAAATAGTAGGAGGCCTCAACTACACGCTCATCGCGGCTCTTACTGCGCCCTTATCAAGACTGAACCGGCATGCTATAGGCAATAACCGTTTTCGCAGACGTATCGTGTACTGTGTGAAAAACCGTTTAATCTGAAAATGCCGTATACAACGCAAACAAACAACAGGAAAGTAGCCGTTACCTCGGTCTCTTTTTTTGCATGGACGTCCACTCTGAACTTTTCAACTTCCGCACGGACCCTTTTCTCAGCGAGGAACTTGCCGCGTTCATATTGTACTGCAAGAAAATCATTTCGAATCGAATCTGAAGCTTCTCACATTTTTTCAAATCGATTGAGTTCTCAGCTTTTATAGATCTAACCTCGGCGATCTCTGACAATAAAATAATAACAAATAGATATAAAATGTGCCGCTCAAATGCTCACTCGCTTTCACTCTTTCTTCGCTGCGTTCTCTTTTTTCTTTGCGCATTTGTGAGCGCTGAATCCACCCGGCGCGCTCCTTCTCCTCCATTGCATCAGCCTCCAACGCCATTCGCACCCACAGTGTCTGTAAAATCACATCATATTAATTCTAATTAGAATCTCCATCGTTAAAGGCATTTCGGAGGCTCTACTTGCCACTGTGTGGGAAAATATGCAACATGAAAATTCTGAGGAAATTCTGGGAGGTTTTTGTTGGTTTCTGTACACTTCTCTCCAAAATCTTCTATAACTAGTGAGGAACCTCCTGAGCTCAGGTGAGGAAAGCGAACATATATTCCTCCAACACTTCTGGTGACTATCTACTGATTCTAACTTTCGACCCGTCCAAAGCCCCAGTCAGCTTCCATAAATATTCTTCACTCGACTTTTGCGACAATGGTTATAACACCAATTTAGCAATCTCTAGGTCGAAAGCTCGATCCCCACCAGAGCCACTACTACTATTACAATAGTAACAATAGTACTGTGAAGATCAATTGTATGGAGTACGAAAGTCCCTAGTGCTACTAGAACTTTCTCTACAGATGCCTAGTCTAGAGATAACATCACTTACATGAGCTTCGCTACTCCTCTTCATCGCCTCCTTCAATTTTTGTTGTTGGACAAGTTCAGCTGAGCCATGCCATTCAGCGAAGCTCGAATCCGGCACGAACCT